TCCCCCAAATTTTTTTTTTTGGGTTTTTTTTAAAAAAGGGGGGAAGTGAAGGGGGGGGGGGGGTTTTTCCCCCAAATTTTTTTTTTTGGGTTTTTTTTAAAAAAGGGGGGAAGGGAAGGGGGGGGGGGGGTTTATCTCACACAATTTATCTGTTTGGGTTTTTTTCAGAAATAGGTGGACAGGAACGGGGGGGAGGGAGATCATCCAAACAGTACTAGCAGGCTATAGGAGAGTATCCAGCATCGGAAATGATATTCTGTTCCTAGAGGCAAACCCAAGAACATGACCGGGGGGGAATTTTCCTCCACGGTCAAAGGTGGTAAAAGTTCGATGTGAATGCCATGTGGTCTACCAGGTCATGAAACTGCAAAGTGTCCTCAAAATGAGATGATGCGGAAGCAACTCACACTGAGTCACCTGCCTCCACAATTCTCCTGGCAGGGGATGAGGAGCAATATGCAGAAGACAAGTGGTAATGGGGGCCTGGAGTCACTTGGGTATTGTGGGACTGTCGATGACTGCCTTCCTGGAGGAGAGGGGTTGCACAAGTAGAAGGGACAGGCGCTTTTGAAATGCCTGGGAGAACTTAAATAGGTAGGGGAAAAAGGGGGCACAACTGCTATACAGGTTGATTTAAGGAAGATCGTACTATGAAGTAACAGGAAATTCTGTATTACACAATGGACTTATCACATGTCCCCTACATTAAGAATGACACTAACCAATCAATATAAGAAGGAACAGGAGGCACCTTTCTACAAGAGGATGGCAACAGGACACTGCATCTGCACCATCTTTTTTGAAGTTTCAGTTCTTCAAAAGCACTCCTGTGCGATCTTCTATTCTGGAGTGAATTAGTCTCTCCCACAATTAAAGCAGAAAACCTTGCCTGAAAACTTGGCTGGGCAGGATCCTCGACCTAGGTACCTTTACATCTTCAAAGTCACATTTAAAACTCTGTTGCTGAATCACCCAACCTTGAAACAGAAGCCCTGAATAATGTTTCTGAAACCTCTGGGCCCTTACAAAGATTTTAACACCTGTGTCTCAAAGAAAACTAGAAGCCAGAATTTTATTTCCCGGACAATGAGGAAGACAAGACTGCCACATGGACAGAAACCAAGCCCCTCAGAAACATTTAAACAGCTAGTCACAGAGGGTGTGAGAAGTACAAGCTGGCAAACTTGTCTTAGAGAGAAAAGTAGTCAGTGAGTACAACTAAAGTTCCCATCTGTTGTACAAAAAGAACTAAATACCAAGTGCGTAGATCAGAACAACAAACATTCCCTGTAAAGTATGCCAATTTAAAAAACAGTTATATTAAAGGAAAAAAGCACTGAAAATAAAATTTCACCTTTTATTACAAACACAAAATGACAAACAGAGGGGATAAATCTTGTTTTTAATTTACTTTATGCATTTGACAGAAGTGTGTATACAGTAAATTTCATTGTTTGCCCCTATATATTCAGTTTCTACTGTTTGTTTTGGCCTTTCAGTAAGAGAAGACAAATATTTAAAAGATAGGAAAATGATTTTTAACACCACAAATATTGGCCAGGAATTCAGGGCAAAGCATAGCACTGAAACTATTTAACTCTGTGTCCATTTAAGTCTTAGCCATTCTAAAGCAGAAAGGTTAACTTTACAGATCTCAGTTAGTGTAAACCTTCCCAAACATTTCAGGAACACAAAAAATGCTATCAGCAGAGGGAGCAACTTATCACTAAGGTTCAATGAATCATTTTAACATAAGAAAGTAATTAAATTTCATTATTTTCAAGACAACGGGGGAAGTTACTGGAAAAAAAATCACATTAAAATGCACTTTTTGCCTGTAACATTGGGTATTTCCACAGTTACAGAGGTAAAGTTCTATGGTCAGATTCTTCACTAAATCAGTTTGGTGGACTTTCAAATACTATAAAGCAAAAGATTATTACCACAGAAAAAACACTCCTAGTTCTGTATTTAAATCACTACATTAAAAAGGAAACGTTCTATTAAAATGTGTTATTACTGAAAGCTACACAAATGACAATACTTCCAGGAGAAAGACACAATGGGTGAAGGAATCTCTTTTATTGAACCAACTCCTGTTGGTGGAAGGGACATGCTTTCGAGCTTCAGAGAGCTTTTCCTCAGGTCTGGAGAAGGTAACCAGAGTGTCTAAGCTAAATACAAGGTGGGACAGATTGTTAAGTACAAGAAGTTCACACATGTTGCAGGAAGAGCTCTATGAAGCTTGAAAGCTAGTCCATTTCACCAACAGAAGTTGGTCCAATAAAAAGTATTACCTTCCTCACCTTTCTCTGTCGCGTCCTGGGACCCACACAGCTACAATACTGCAAACAATACTTCCATGTACTAAGATCAGTGATAATTCTGAGTCATTAGTTGCAGTACTATAAACTACATTAAACAAATGCGTTCTGCATACATTTACTTACAGGAGGAGTTGTTCAGATGCTGGTCACGAAGTGTGTGAAGTTCTCCTAACAACTTGTCCATTTTTTGTTTTTTACCTTGCAACATTCTCATCTTGCTAAAAAGTTGAGCTTTCTCATCAGATAAGTGCTGTGACACAGAAGAATTTCTACTTTGTGAAATCTCTCTAGTAAGTGAAAGACTTTCTGCTTGCCTTCGATTATCTGGCACAGGTTGAGTCTAAAAATAAATAAAGTTCATTTTAGTAGCAGTACTGTGAAAATGCCATAGTAATTTGCTAGTTACCTTTCCCAATTCCAGAAAAAAAGTAAAAAAAATACCTCATTTAACTTGAGCTCAAGGCTAGTGCTGAGACTCCATAACAGAAAACCAAGGTTCTCAAACTAAACAATAGTTAGCTCTTATATAATTCCAACTGCACAGTAACTAGCACAGATTGTGATGTGAAACTGTTGCTCTTGGCTTCCAAGAACCATGTATAAACTGACACTAAGCTTGTATCAATCAACGAATAACCACTTCTATCGAAAGTAAAACAATATAGAAAGCATCAATTGGAATAAAAACAAAAAAAACTTTACAATCAAATCCAGTTAATGTTTACATATAATAAAAAATGTCAAATTTGACATAGGGTTTTTTAAACTGAATATTGTATTTTAAACATGTAGCCCTACATACAATTCTTGTTATGAGTTGTGCAAGTAACCTACAGGGCATATTACTGAAAATGTAATTAGAACAAAGCATACTCAGCAAGTCAGACAAGTACAGGCAAAATTTACACAGGCATTTAAGAGGTAGCAATACAAAAAGCTTAACTTTTGTGCATCACAGCAACAAGATCTAAGAAACAAGCTCTTTTAACTGCATTTTATTGCCACAAAGACTTAAGAAAATGTTATTAAAACAGCAATCACTCTCATTGTGTGAGAAAGTATACTGAAAACTAAGTCAGAATAGCTTTGCAATAAACCTATTTATTCAAGTATTTTTAAGACCCTTATAGGGAAAATAAACTAAAATATACACAGCAACACGATATTTAAAAAAAAAAAAAGTTACCTGAGATTCGTGAAGCTGATTGTGAAAACGCTGGATTAGGTCATTTAATTCTTCATTTAGTTCAGATGTAAGACTTACTCCTGAAATGCTACCTGTGGTCTCTGTTACAACTACAGAAAACAGTAAGTCCAAAACATTAAACTAAAAAGGTTAATTTGAGAAAATGGTTTTTAAGATTTCAAAATAAGTACATACCATAGCTACTAACATACAACACTGGTTAGACAAATTTACCTTATTTGTCAACTGCACTAACCAAATCCTGTGCGCACATTATAGAAATTTAAACTAACCTGAAATGTCTGAAATAATCCTTAGAAAAACAGATTTTTGTTTGTTTTGTTTTTTTCGGACGACACCTTCCCAACCCCAGAAAGAATTCATCATTTGATGTGGACAGCACTATGTCAGCAGGAGAGACTTTCCTGCCAACATAGATAAGGGTGCTTGTTGGGGATGGTTCAGTTATGCCGGCAGGAGAGCTCTCTCCTGCCAGCAAAGAGCAGCTACACAGGAGACCTTACCGCAGCACAGCTGTGCCACTAAAAGGTCCGTAGTGTAGACATAACCTCAGTCAATGTACAGTTTCACTGTGAAAACCGACTATGCAAAAGCATACATTGTTCAGCAGATCTGTTCCTTTTGTGGTTTTGGTTTGTTTTTTGTTGTTCCCACAAAAATCAGTTAAGTTCAGTTTTTGTTGTGTTTTTTGTTTTATTTAAAAACTGTATGGCCCTGTAGAACCAACACTGCTAAGAAGAATGAGCTGGACAGTGTACTTCTCATTTATTTATCAACTGAACTCTATGTTCCAGTCAGTTACAGTCAAAGACAATGGATTATATGGGTGTAAAGGCAGCATATAATTTGGCCTCCAGAACCTTTACTGACCATGGTATGCTAGAAGGAAATACCTCAGTCTGTCATTCAAATCTGATTTGCAAGGCTGGCAGTTAGGAAAAAAGACACATTTTTACTTGCAAAAACATATTTGATATGGAAATCAAGAGAAATGTAGAACTCTACAACACTATTTTAAAAACAATCACTTGTCAAAACAAACCAGGACCTTAAATATCCACCAATTTTAGCCATACCAGAGTGTGGGTGTCTGGCCTATTTTTAACTTCACATTAATAGTTTGTTTAATAAACCCTTAACTGGGTTTATTTTTAAAATGTTACATTTAATGTTACATCATTTTTCCCCCTTTTCCCTGTCCCTGCTTCTTCTACCTTTTTCAACACAAGGGTTAGTGGGATGCTGCTTTGAGTATCACCAGGACAAATGTGACACAAATAAGAGTAGCACCAGGGAACAGAGAATAAGCCTCTCCTTAAGGATAACTTAAGTAAGTCTCTCCTCTGTCTACCACCTCCTCTTCCTATGAAGAAAGGTTATTTCTGTAGGAGAGAGAAGAGTATGGGACTTCAGATTTCTACTAGTACTGGGAAGTTTGCTTAGGGCAAGAGACACCATAAGGCAGAGCTGAAGGTGCCTAGAAGCTGATTCAGGAAGAAATGCCTTCCCCAGAACCACTGTATGCCCTATATTTGAGATTGGGCAACCGGAACTGCAACCAGTATTCAAGGTGTGGGCATAACATGGATTTATATAGTGGCATGATATTTTCTGTCTTCTTATCTCTATATATAAGAATTAGAAAAGGTATGGAGGACAACAAAAAATGATTGAGGATATGGAACAACTTTCCTATGAGGAGAGATTAAAAAGGCTGGGACTTTCCACTTGGAAAAGAGATGACTAAGGGAGGATATGATAGAAGTCCATATAATCATGAACGATGTAGATAAAGTGATTAAGGAAATGTTATTTACTCCTTCACAAAGCACAAGAAGTATGGGTCACCCAATGAAAATAATAGGCAGCAGGTTTAAAACAAAGAAAAGGAAGTACTACTTCACACAACACACAGTCAACCTGTGCAACTCTTTGCCAGGGGATGTTGTGAAGACCAAAGCTATAACAGGATTCAAAAAAGAATTAGGTAAGTTCACAGAGGATGGGTCCATCAATGGCTATTAGCCAGGATGGGTAAGGATGCAACACCATGCTCTGAGTGTCCCTGGGAATGGGTGACAGGAGATGGATCACTTGATGATTGCCTGTTCTGTTCATTCCCTCTGACCTGGCACTGGCCACTGTCGGAAGACAGGATACTGGGCTAGATGGACCATTGGTCTGACCCAGTATGGCCGTTCTTATGTTCTACTAGCTACCTGGAGCATCATTTAATCTCATAGCAAAATCATCATGTATGGTCCTTCTATCCCACCTCAAAGCTGGCTTGTTAGGACAGAACACAGGAAGAGATCAATTACTACAGGCAGAGCCCTAGGCTACAATTTTGCTGGTCAGTTTGTTGGTGCTATTGTTACGTGTGATGTTACATGTCAGATAAGCAATGCACTCCATTTCTAAGGACGACAAGGCAGATGTTAGGCGAAGGGAAATTTGAAGTCAAACAATTTTAAAATGATTTTCTCCCAATTAGGAATTTGCTAAACAAGCTTTTAAAAAACAACATGTATGGTACACATTCTGAGGGGACGGGAAGCAGATCTGAGACCATCACCGTCTAACTTCCAAATAATTTATCATTCGAGGCTGTTTAACGCTGATCTCAAATCATTTCTGTTATCACTTTCCAAAAAAATGTATCTTTGGGCAGAGACCAAACGTGAGAAGTTTCAACCCCAAAGATTTTGACAATGTTAAGGAAGTGTTAAAGTACAGGTTTATAATGGAACAACACTTAACTTATCTTTATAGTGGTTGTGATGTGTTTAACAGTTGGAGGCAAGTCTACAATTCAGATTCTAAAGAATCTGAAATCTACTTTTATATTTGGTTAAGATATAGTAATCAAATTTAAACTATAACTGTTCTGTTCTTCCTTACTCAAGAAAGCTTTAAAAATACACTTCTGAGTTTTTAAAGTAAACTTTGGTGGCTCATCTCTAAGTACCAGGAAGGAACTTATGCTTTTAATTAGGGCTGTCCAGCAATTAAAAAAATTAAATTAAAAATTGTTAAAAAATAGAATACCATTTATTTATATTTTTGGATGTTTTCTACATTTTCAAATATACTGATTTCAATTACAACAGAATACAAAGTGTACAGTACTCACCTTATATTTATTTTTGATTACAAGTATTTGCAATATAAAAAAGAAAAGAAATAGTAATTTTCAATTCACCTTATACAAGTACACCTCTACCCTGATATAACGTGACCCAATCTAACACAAATTCGGATATAACACGGTAAAGCAGCGCTCCGGGGAGGGGGAGCGGCTGCGCACTCCGGTGGATCAAAGCAAGTTCAATATAACGCGGTTTCACCTATATCGCGGTTAGATTTTTTTGGTTCCCGAAGCTAGCATTATATCGGGGTAGAGATGTACTGTAGTGCAATCTCTATCATAAAAGTTGAACTTACAAATGTAGAATTATGTTAAAAAACTGCATTAAAAATAAACATGTGAAATTTTAGAGCCTGCAAGTCCACTCTGTCCTACTTCTTGTTCAGCCAATCGCTCAGACAAACAGGTTTGTTTACATTTGCAGGAAATAATGCTGCCCACTTCTAGTTTACGTCACCTGAAAGTGAGAACAGGAGTTTTCACGGCACTGTTGTAGCCAGCGTCACAAGATATCTACATGCCAGATGTGCTAAAAGATTCACACGTCCCTTCAGGCTTCAACCACCATTCCAGGGGACATGCGTCCAGGCTGATGACGGGTTCTGCTCAGTAACAATCCAACGCAGTGTGGACAACTGCATGTTTACTTTCATTATCTGAGTGAGATGCCACCAGCAAAAGGTTGATTTTCTTTTTTGGTGGTTTGAGTTCTGTAGTTTGTGCATCAGAGTTTTGTTCTTTTAAGACTTCTAAAACCATGCTCCACATCTCGGCCCTCTCAGATTTTGGAAGGCACTTCAGATTCTTAAACCTTGGGTCAAGTGATGTAGCTATCTTTAGAAATCTCATATTGGTACCTTCTTTGTGTTTTGTGAAATCTGCAGTGAAAGCGTTCTTAAAATGAACAACATGTGCTGGGTAATCATCCGAGATGGCTATAACATGAAATATACAGCAGAATGGGGGTAAAACAGAGTAGGGCACATACAATTCTGCCCCAAGGAATTCAGTCACAAATTTAATTAACCTATAATTTTTTTTTAAACGAGCGTCCTCAGCATGGAAGCATGTCCTCTGGAATGGCAGCCGAAGCATGAAGGGGCATATGTTTACCATAACTGGCATGTAAATACCTTGCAATGCCAGCTACAAAAGTGCCATGCGAACACCTGTTCTCACTTTCAGGTGACATTTTAAATAAGAAGAGGGCAGCATTATCTCCTGTAAATGTAAACAATCTTGTTTGTCTTAGCGATTAGCTGAACAAGTAGGAGGACTGAGTGGACTTGTAGGCTCTGAATTTTTACATGGTTTTGTTTGAGTGCAGTTATGTAACCAAAAAAAAATAAAAATCTACATTTGTAAGTTGCACTTTTAGGACAAAGATTGCACTACAGTACTTGTATGAGGTGAATTGAAAAATACTATTTCTTTTTATCATTTTTACTTTGCAAATATTTGTAATAAAAAACAATACACCTGGATTTCAATTACAACACAGTATACAATTGATATGAAAATGTAGAAAAACCATCCAAAATATTGAATAAAATTCAATTGGTATTCTATTGTTTAACAGTGCGATTCAAACGGTGATTAACTGCGATTAATTTTTTTAATTGCAATTAATTTTGAGTTAATTGCCTGAGTTAACTGTGATTAATCGACAGCCCTAGTTTTAAGTTTGTAGCCTTGTTACCTAACAACATATAAAAAATATTTAAACTAAGTTCTTCCACCAAATGGAAGTCCTGCAGTAAAATTCCAAATATTACAAGTATTTTATATAAGATACAGAATGTACAAGCTTAAGAATATATCCAGAACATTTTTTTAAATTGTGTAGTACATTTATACTTTCAATATAAATTTTTTTAAATTCAGAGTTTCAGGTTTAATCAATACATCAATTTATCATTACATACTCTTGTCCTTCCACATACCAGAATCATCCATAACAGCAATTGCCTGCTCTGCTTTATGCTGCAGAGCAAGAAGAGCAGCTTGTCTTCCCTGAAGTGCTTTCAGCTGTTCCTGTTGTTGTAACATCCTTGTTAACAAGTCATGTTGCTTCTTCAAATTCTCTAGCTCCTCTTTAGCCTCCTGCTGGGGGTCTCTGGCCTGGAAGATAAGAAAAGATGCTATCAAATAAATTCCTCAGCTACGATAATACTGCATTAGTAATAGGATGACATCTTAATGTAAGCTGAACCTTAACAGCTCAATGAAACACCTCAAGACTAACAGTTTAGTTTAACGAGGTGAAGACTTAACTATCGTCTCCTCATACTTAAAGCTAGTTCTTCCAGACCAAGTTTGAGTCATTTTAGGGAAAAGTTTGTACTGCCAACCACCATGCTGCACAATGCCTTGTGGATAAGTACAATTATTTTGTCTCCAGGTCTGCCAACTTAGCACCCTCCACGAGCAGATTACAAAATTAAAAACTTGCACATTTCTTCCTTTAACTACACTAGGTTTATAAATTTATTAACACGAAAAGCATATAACCACAAAGCCATAAGAGTACTCCTCCCCTCAATCCCTGATAGGTATAAAATGCAATTCAAGATACTGAATTAAAAGAGCAAAATCAAAGACTTCTGTCTGGTGTTGAACTTGTTTTAAAAGAGTCTCTGCAGTAAACACTTTTTAAAAATATGGACCTGATCCTCTTCATTTCCTATACTGGCTTAACAGTCCAGTGTGGAGTGAAAACAGAAACTGAACGATCTGTTCACAAGTATCTGTTACGCAACTGCCAACCCAAAGAACCACCACTGGACCCTGCCTTAGGAAGATCCAAGGTCCAAAATGATTCACTAGCCTCAAAGCTTTATCTTTCACTACACAATTTTGCAACAAATTATTTGTTTCTCATTCCATAAAACCATATGTAGGCTACAATTCTGCATCAAGTTTGAACCTGAATCTTCACAGTAGGAAGATGAACTACAAAAATACCAGTATTATGAATTTTTAAATATTTGTCAAGTCTTAAAAAAAAAAAACAAAAAACAAAAAACACTTTTGCCAAGCTGAAATTCCCACTCCCAAAGTAAAAAAATTCACCTGACATCTAGTGTCGAGTGCCTACTGCGAAAAATTCCTACATTGAAGAATATGTTTGCATATATTAAAGTACTTGGCCCTACCACAGAGGTACTTCCCACAGAGTTTGGAAGTTATTGGAAAAGGCAAGGTCAAGTACTTTAATGGACAGTAAATTAACTTTGTAGATGGGGTGCTGCTTCTTGCCCCCCTAGCAGAGTGTGTGGATCCCAGAATGGAGTGAGCAACTCTCTCTCTCAGCCTAGGCATCAGAAATGTCTGAAACTCCAAATATCAATGTTTTAAAGGGTAAACCATGTTTTAAAGGGTAAACCATGTTCAGCTCAATCCACTATTTTTAAACATCCAGAATTTAATTATTAATAAAAAGGTCTCCAAAAATTTAATAAGAACTTGCAAGTTTTTAAAATGACTTAAAACCACTAAAAACGTCAATGATAATCCTTGTGTAAATCCCCATTTTAGATGGAGAAATTGAGGCATGGAAAGATTACGTGATTTGTGCAAGATCACATATCAAATCAATGGCAGAGGGAAAAAAACAAAACTGATAAACAAACCAAGCTTCATTTCAAGCATATCAGAGGCATCTGTACTCATTAAAACAAAGACCAATTTTTTTTCCAAGTTGGGTGTCTAAAATTAGCACTCAAGCTTGACAAAATTTGCTATAAAGGGTATAGAAATATTCAAATAATGTATTTAAACAATTTGAGTTTAAACAAAAAAGATGGGGCACTAAAAATTCAATTACAAAAATACTTTTAAAAAAAATCACAGCAGGACAGGACACATCTCAAACACAGTTTTTAAGGCACTGACCCCCACTAATGTGTTTTTCCCTGCAGGTATATACTGGGTATTGCTACAGGCATGCACAGTTTATCCTTTGTAGAGATTTTATTACAGACCATAATTTTTCCTCTGGGCAACAGAAGTTTTTGATCTTCCACTTCACTTTTTCTACACAAGATGTTTGTTATTATGTTCTTTCAGGCAGATTAATAGCATGAAAATTAACAGATCTCTAAGTGTGAATTATCTACAATTACACTACATTAAACCAATTTTAAAACACTTTCTCAGAAATAAGAGTGCATTTGCATCAAGTCATGAATCTGAAGTGGCAAGCTGTGGCTGCAAAAAGTGAGATTAACAGATGGACATACAGTTAGATTTATACCCCTCACTAATCAAAAAAGAACGTATGTTGGGTTGGAGGAGGAAATTAGTAAAAAACTCATTTTTATAAAATCTCTGCTTCCGAAAACAAGTCAACATGAAGAAGAGACATTCAATGAAAATGTAGTCATACACAGGTAAGTAAGACAGATCTACTGTTATAGTGTTGACTAAAGCATTAAACACCAGAAGCTTCTGTATGGAAAGAATGAGAGAAAAAAGTAATTGTGCATTACAAATACTTAGATGTTTTAAAGCTGTTTAGCAACAAAGGAACTGAGGAAGAAAAAGAAAATCAGCAAGTACAGACCCTATTTTGGAGACTTGCCAAGGTAATATTCTGAAGAGTACCTGTGAGGGTAATCCAATCCTAATAGGCCAGATTTCCCTGCCATTCAGAGCAGTTCTGTCACCTTTCCCTTTTGGACTTCTTGTAACGTCAATGTCTGAAACCTGTCCTTGTGAAGCTGAATTCCCTAGTTTGTCCTCAATGCAGGGCCGAATTTTCAGACTAAAAGATTCTTCCTTTATTAAATAGTTTAGTATGTTAGATTTAGAACACACTCCTGTTTAACATGCATTTTTAAACTATAAAATTGCTTACCTAATTCATTTGTGTCTTACTTATTATATATGGCAAATTGTATTACTTCAATCAAATAAGTCTGTTCTTGTTTAATTCTACTGAATTTTCAATTTCCTTTGTTAAAATTATTTTCTTAAAGACAGGACTCCAAATATCATTGTACCATGTAATTATAGAGAACTACTTTTAATATTTCAAAGAACTATATAATAAAAGAAACCTAATTCCAAAATACTTAAAGCCACACACATAAAAATGAAAAAAAATATGCTTTCTGTATAGATAAACAGCCAGATACAAGCTTTGTTTACAATAATTTTATATGGATATATATTTCTGTCAGTATATATTTCTATCAGTACTGGTTTTTTTTTCACATTTTAAACAACATTAAAAAAAGTTAGATGTTGATGTTTAATCTCTACAATGTTATCTTTTTGAAAGACCTGATAAAAACAAGAAAATCTTGCAGGACTTTTATAATTAGAATTGAGAGACTGTCTGGTTTAATTCTGACTTTTAAATAAGTATCTCTATATTCTTTATTTAAACGCTACTTTTTAACTTCCTAGAACACACATTCCTAACCCATAGTCTGTGGAGCACTTTGCTGATGGTCCACATCATGCTGGCTGAAAACAAAGAGACAACACCATATACACAGATGCTTAAATTTTATTAAAAAGGAGATAAAAATATTAGGAAGTATTCAACGTTCTTTTCCATGTAAGCAACTGCTGAAATTGCTACAGGAGTTATGTGATCACAAATGGGAGAGGAGATGGTCTGTGCAATCATGAAATGTATATATATATGTAGAAATGCCAGAGTCCATAAGACACTCTAATAAGAGGTGGCCTACCCAACGAAAGAGGTTGGGAACCCCCATCCTAGAGCAATGCTTCTTATGATATCACTATAGATATACTTATGCTTCCTACAGCAACAACCCATGATAGTGAACCATTTACACACCTCCATTACCCTTCAATTTCCCCAGTACTGGAAGCACGCCACTTACCAAAAACAGCTTAGAAAACTAGTCCTTTCTACATTGATAAAAGGCAAGATACATATTTAACCCCTAGAATTATTTAAAAGATTCATAAGCTATCCAAGTAAAATTGCTACAACAGAAGCTTTTTAAAACAAACTTTTTAAAAATATACATCATTGAGAGTTTGGGGGGTTTAAGTCTCCTTGAACTGAATTTCAGATTAACAATACTATCAAGTATCAGTCAGGAAAAGAAAAAACAAGTCTTCATTTCTAGCACCTTAATTACTAAAAGCAGCTTACCGTGGTATCTGAAGCCTCAGACTGCACATCTATGTTTAGCGATGTGCTCTCAGCTACAGAACCAGATCCCACAGCTGAATCTATAGTCCGAACATCCTCCTCCTCATTTTCTCTAGCCTGAAATATTTTAGTGGCATAAATCAAAAGCTATATAAATGGGGTAGTAAAAATGAATTATTATGGAAGGTACTGTATCTTGAAGTTAACTCCCCCAGCGGTACCATCAAAATATCAATAACTGACTCAGAGTTTTCTCACATTGCTTAAGAGATAAAAAATAGATATAATGTAAGTTCTGAAACTTACAAGCATCTTTTGCAAAAATTTCAGATAGGATTTTTCTTGTTCTTTAAGATGGTCTATGAGATGTGACAAGCGCTCAACATTAGCAGATCTTTCATTTTTCTCTACAAGATCATCCCGCATGGAGCTGGCCTTAGCAATATAGTCACGAATTTGAACTAGTCTGCTCACAATCTGCAGAGAAGACATTGAAATTACTCTGTAAGTTAATCAATAAATAGTTTTGATATTTGTGATCCACAAGACATGAGGGTGATAATTTAACTTATACCACACCTATGTAAATAAAATGAAAGGTGACATACTAGAGTTTACGGTCTCAATCCTACAATTGGCACTGACTTCAACAGGGATGCAGCATATGCATAAAGTTCCAAGATTGAGGATTAATGTTGCTTCTGTCAGATACCAGGTGCACTATTGAGCTCATACCTCTAAACATTATGTCACAATTTGTATGCTAGTCCCAGAAATTACCAAAACAATTAAAATGGTAATCAGGTCAATCTCTAGGTTTAAAAGTGGTGTATTAAATAAACTGCTTCTCTTTCAGTATGCAGAGTTACTAGCATTATGTGGTCATAAGCATTCCCACACATAGTACATTTTAAATCTCATTTCATGTGTTCTGAAGCAAGTTACTCTGTAAACAATTAAGAGTAGCAAAATATAAACCTTCATAATAATCATTCGGAATTAATTTTAAAAATTAATGAAACTTTCTAGGAAGCTTCATCAGGGTGTCTACAAAGCAACAATGAAATTAGACATTTTCTAAAAGTTCTGGTATTGTAGGAGGAAGAGATTGCAACAGGAATAGGCTGAGTCATGAACAATACCTGGCTACTATCCATAGCAGGTTCTCCTCTTCCATCTTCTTGAACAGACACCTGACAATTTTGCAAAAAGTCTTTACTTAGAGCAGATGCAAATAACTCTTTACATTGTGATGATCCACCAGTTTCTTTTTTTTGAGGGCTTGTAGCAGCATCCTTGCTTTTGTTAGTGTTAATCTGCAGTGATAGGAAGTTGAATGGTTTTCGGGTTTCATTAAGCAGACGCTTGTTGTTAGCAGCTGTTGCTCTGCCTTGAGAATCACTTCCAATGCTCCTCTACATAAAAACAAACCAAAGGAAGTTATTACATATTACTTAAATATTCCTTCAAAAACACTGTTCTATTTTTATTAGTTCACAATTGAACAATAGAGTGGTACCATCATGTGGCATTACTAGGCATAGCTTGGAAAAAACCAAGACTACAAAATCTACTAGCCAGAGAACTAAAACTTACTAGCTGACGGCTGATAGTAAAGATGATTAAAATCATCTCCACCAGGCAGATTCTGGTCAGAAGCTTGACCTTACAACCAATCTACTGGGAATGACAGGGAGACTTCTAGAATTCCTATCAGGGTGCTGTCCCTAGACCTTGCTCTAAACTCCAGCTTCATGCCTGATAATATGAAGCCACATCTTCCCTTCCAAATGCATGAGAAAGAAGGTACTTATCCTATAGCCTCCTGACTACTGAACTGGAACAAAGAATAGCATTGGATACTGAATTTCTCTATAGCCTCTTCCTGTGTGGAAGATGATCTCCCACCCTACTCTAGACTGCATTTATTGGTTATCTTCCCCCAACTGTAGCTCCAGAGCTTTCTTCTGCCACTACTAGGCTGGAATGTTTACTGATGCTATTCAGAACTCCGTGTGCAACCGTGACGTTAAGTATATCAGTTCCACTCTACTGTTCCTTGAAAAGCTAAGAGCAGCAACAGAAATTCTAGAGTTGTCTGTCTTCAGATTTAGGAAGACTGCAAAGCAATGGGTCACATTTGGAAGATTATCATTATAACCATAAAGACTAGAGGTCACGGTTTTAATTGAAAACTTAAATTCAGCAAAAATTTAGGGCAGAAGCGTAGTAAAAAGCATGACATTCCATTCTGCCACAAGGCACACCATCCAGAAATAACCAGGGTTAGAGTCTCAAATTACATTACTTCAGGAAGTAATGCCTTCAAGAAAATACTTTCAAGATTGGCAGGTACTAAATAACCTCTAACTCTCACAGATGTGATACACATCGAGAAATACTGATTTGGAGAACTGAAATTTATTATATTACAGAGTGACACCATATGCCAACCTTCAGGTATGCTGTCTAGTGAAAGTAGCTGACCTACCCTTATGTATCTGGACACCATGATCCAGAATATATGTATTTTTCTACACTTTTTCCAGTTCAGAATCTGGACTATTATTTGCTATGTGACGTCAATGCACATTTTTTATTTGAGCCACTGACTTTCAAAGTCTTTCCTTTTGAAGTTTGTTAATCTGACAAAGACAGTTTAGCAGGTTTGTATGGTTTTATATTCACATTTATACAATTCTCGCAAATACATATCCACAAACCTGATCCAGATCACTGAAGTTTATTCTTTGTTTAAGCCTTTCTAATTCTGCCTGCTCTGGAACAGACATCTGAGTCATATATCTAGTGTGAGGAAAACTATGAAGAGTCCTTGTCTTCCGCCGTCCCATTCCGGGTGAGGACTCTGGAGATATGTCATTAGTAAGCCTTGTTTCACCTTCCCCACCAAATTTTTTCTTGTTTTTCTCTGAAGACCTGTTTGCTTTCTTCTGTTGACCCCCCCAGTCCTTCAGAAAAGCAGAAAAAAAGCATATTTATTATCTCTTTATTGAAAAAAGATATGGTTTACTTCAGTGAATTGGAGTTTGACTCAATTTTAGAATTACAGAAAAAACAAAAATGCCAAAACCTACTTATATTTAAGCAATAATTTGAGAATCACATTGGATAATATAGTTTTCTCCAAAGCATGAATAATAAGTAATCTGACAGGAAGTTTGGTCCACTTAACCTTTTTAGCCTTCAGAAGTATTTTTTCACTTGAAACAAAGCTACACTAGCATTTTTCTTCTACTCAGTCTTCAGCGGGTTATAATGCTTAACCTTGAGGGCAAATTCCCACTTATGGCTTTCAATCAAATAGTATAGCTCCCCCGCACCTCCCACCCCCAAAATGGTTTACACATTAGCTAGATTTGCGACTCAGTTTTGATAGGCCACCTCTTGACCACGGATGATCATTCATATCAGCATATGGCTCTTTCAAATCTACGATGTTTGTATCATACATTAGTGTGCTGACTTTTGTTTCAGTTGGACACATGTATTTAGCTTTATGAACAGAATGTAAGCAACTAACTTCTCCTATAGTATTTTGTTTGACAATTTTTATGGTTTCATATCCATCCATCACTGCAGTAGAATCTACATGTCAATTTTCACCTACAGTATGATGTGACAATTAAAAAGTTAACATGAAATCATACCGTATTGTTCAGCCGGTCATCAAAGCTCTCATTGCCCCAGCTAGGCAAGTCCTGATCATTCATGCCTTCCTCAAAAGGACCACCTCCTGTTGCCATGGTATGCAGTCAAAAATGCTATAAAAGAATTATAGTTGATACAAAATGCAAAAATTAGCAATTCAGAGAAAAATCAAGACAGGTGCTATACCTAAACATTCTCACAGAAGTTGTAAATAAGTTATTAGAAAGTAAACCTCATATTGTTCTATTATAAAAGAACAGTACAAATTAAAAATATTTTAGTATTCCTCACCTTGGGTAATAAAGAACACAAAGGTATAATAAGAAATTTTAGTTCCTGGAAACACAATAAAGAATGCAATACAGCAGGGGTCGGCAACGTTCAGCACGCAGCTCGCCAGGGTAAGCACCCTAGCGGGCCGGGCCAGTTTATTTACCCGCTGACACGGCAGGTTTGGCTGATCGCGGCCCCCACTGGCCGCGGTTCGCCGTCCCGGGCCAATGGGGGCGGCGGGAAGCTGCGGCCAGCACATCCCTCGGCCCGCGCCACTTCCCGCCACCCCCATTGGCCCAGGACGGTGAACCTCGGCGAGTGGGGACCGCGATCGGTCGAAGCTGCCGCGTCAACAGGTAAATAAACTGGCCCGGCACGTTAGGGTGCTTACCCTGGCGAGCCGCGTGCCGAACGTTGCCGACCACTGCAATACAGTAACATCAGGTCCTCAGTGATGTCAGTCTAATACGTCTTCCAAGAATTAAAAGTTTCCTATAAAGAATGTATTCAAAGCAAAATGTCCTTCATTCAATACTAAAATATATCGTAACAGAGCACTGAAAGGGACACTAGCTAACAATCAGTAAGAGGAATTCCTTTTCCTTGCTATACCACAAATTACAAACATTTAGTTAGAGAATGCCCTGGGTTTTATCCTAAATATTGTTTATAGAAAAATAAAAACATATGAACCACTATATTTTTGTATTTAGCTAGGAAATAGTTTTGCTAATGTAAGATAAACTAAGGGTCTGCATTAGAAACAAATCTGAAGTTAAATTAACTCTGTCAATAGTTAAGGAAATCACTTCTGCCTGAGTTTAACTAGTTTTGATAGAAGCAACACCCACTTACATATAGCTAAAGAAAATTAGGGGAAAATATAGTAGCTTTTTAAAGCTGAATCCTTAACTTATCCTGTTGAGTGTTGGTATGAAAGATCACAAACCATGTGTAATCACATATACTGTAGTGCTGCGAAACCAAATATGCACAATACAAGAATAAATCTGTAGTCAAGGTACCTGTGACACACGTTAACTGGGTTGAGCAGGAAACCAGTTCCTTTCACCCACACTGATATTCATATAACAACCACCTTCAATTACAGAAGTGGAATATCGACACACTTTTGCAAGTAATCACTTTCCAATATAGCCCAAGCTGTCAGGTGAAAATTAGGACCATGTTCTGAAGCTATCTTATGCAATACAATGTGGTGTTATTTTATTTCTTCTGGTGCTAGTCAGAACTTAGTAGCTCAGATAGGAGACCAAAAAAACCAGAAGGTATATAATACTGGTGGGTCAGACATTCATCCCCATCCCAGACCACTAATTCCAAAACCCACATTTTCACATCACAGATAATGCACACTATACTGTATGTGCAGAGGTCATCTGTGTTTATAAGTTGGCTACCAACACTTTTATACTCATTTAACTGTGTCCACATGAGGGAGTTATACTACTTTCACTTTTATTGCTATAGTTAAAGCAGTACAACTTCCATGTGTAAAGAAATCCCTAGTTCACCTCTGCCTAGGCACAAACTACATAGCTAGGTTAATTTACAAAACAAAAAATTAAAGTATCATAAGCATGTATTACTTTTGAAAACAGTTTTCTAAATCCATAGAAGGAACAAGCACTAAACAGATTACAAGGTTTGCAAGCAAAACTATCTTTGACTTTAGCTTTTTGATAGCTGAGATATATGTGACTCTGAGTCTCTCAATGCCCCTGTCTAGCAACAACTGTTGCCAGGCCTGACAAACTCACTACACAAAGCACACAGTTACAAGATACTCTTTGGATAAATATTGTAAGGTACCATCTAAAAATTGATGATACTCTAGTCATTAATATTTTTGCATGATGCATCTACAGTTAGAATGTAAAGAGTTATGTAGGTGTGCTGGAAATACGTTACTAAAATATGTTTAGACCAAACAATCCAAGTAGAACTGGTTTGTCCTAAACAAAGCAATGTATATTGGTCGGTCCACTGTGGTCAGGCTTTACAACCAAAAGACAATGAAAGTATATTGCATGTAAGGTACACAGAATGATCAAACAGCAGGAAGAAGCACCAGCTTGCTTGAAAACACACAGTAGGACCAGAGTCTGAATTCCAGGCGGTCTTCTTCATGGCTCCTGAGGCAAAGATAATGAACTCTGGGGAATATAAGGAGCAGCAAAAGAACATGCCGGTTATCTATCACTTAAGGGACAAAGAGGCCAGCTCTCTTTAAATTTGTGAAACGTGAGTCCCTCAGACACATGGGTGAGGACCCAGAGAACTGACTGTAATATGTGACAGGTTTCAGAGTAGCAGCTGTGTTAGTCTGTATCCGCAAAAAGAAGAGCAGGAGTACTTGTGGCACCTTAGAGACTAACAAATTTATTAGAGCATAAGCTTTTGTGGACTACAGCCCACTTCTTCGGATGCATACGAAGA